TACACATCCTTGTATAGTTTTACACAACTTTTTTTAAATATTATTATGTTATGAGTCCAGTGCAATCAATAGAATAGCAAGGAACAAATCTGGTGCTACAGTAGTACATATTTTAAGAACAGTCAAAATACAAATACAAGCTTCAGGATTAAATTTATTCGGTACAATTCACTAACCATAGCCCCATTGTTTTAAAACCGTATGACTTCTTTAAAAACACGACAAATCTCCACTCACAGCAGTACTCCGAAAAAATTTGAATGATTTGAATGATTTGAATGAATTATCAATATCATCTATTCATCCTAAATATGTAAAGACTGACCAACTTATAAATATCTAGTACATTAATTTTGGTTTCCCATTTCTCGAGGAGCTGCTATGTTATTTCTATAAATCTTAAAATTTATCAATATGCTATACTTGGGTGTCGCCTGCAGGATGTAAAACCCATCCGCTCTTTGTATTTAGCACATAAAAATAACTTTGCATGACTTTTATAACATTTTTATTTTTTCACCAACCACCCTAATGCAATTATTCTATAAAAAAGCCCGGTATCATTTTTTGACCATTTTCATGCACATATCCAGATTTCTTTCGCTTCATTTTCAATGTCAAATCCTCCCAAAAGCATTAGTACTGTTCATAAATGGGAAGCTGTAGTATAGCATCATTCCTAAAGGCTGTTTATAAGCTTCATACAAACTCTTAAATCCGGCATTTCGCCATACAAAATATGGCAATTGTAAACTAAGCATAGCGTAAAGATAGTTAACACCACATTACTGTTAGCTCAACCAATATACAAAAAAGATTTGACTTATTAAAAGAATCTGTACAAACAATTTTAAAAGTTTTGATTACTCTTTGATTGCTGTTTTAATATGTATATATATATATGTATAAAGGAAGGTAGCCATACATTTTGGAAGGCAGTCCTACATATATAGAGGAAGGCAGTCCTACACTAATTTAAAGTCAACTTGGTTCTAGTTTACTGGTCGTATAGTAGTCCTCCCTTTCGATTATGTTACTATATCACACTTTTTTTAATCTCTGTAAAAACTAAATCGAGCATTTGTGTTATGAAATATGTCGGTTCATTCTTATGGACTCTACATATTTGGTTCTTCACCAAATTACTCCAACCGCAGTGCCGCTTTCGACATTTGAGCAAATCGTATACCATGTTTTAGCACCAACTTTAAAGAAATTGGCGTCATCTATTTATTTTCGTTACCTTATTTTACCGCAAAGTGTTGTAAAAATCAAAGACCTTGTCAGTCTTGATTGAAGATAGTTCAGCAGAAAGTTATCTGATGTATTACCTTAGCCATTTAATTCTTTAGAATTTTTAACTCTTTTTTTCCAAATCTTTATTCTTTTATAGTGGCAGAACTATATATTACACAACTGCGTCTAGCATAATAAAGGTAACAACACTTCTAATGCTGCTGTTGACGAAGTTCTCATTAGCCCTCATTATCCTGTCAATACAAGCGTAACTATCATCTTCTTTTTTTATTCTATGAACTATATTTGAGTTGTATTGCGGTCTTTTTATTAGGCCCATGCAATCGAGCCGTAAGTTCGAATTGGTATTTGATTGGTTAATCATTTAAATTGTTATTATTCAGTTTGTTACTTATTCATCGTTTATTTAGATAATTTATCAAAAAGGAATTCGCTAATCTGGTACAACATACAATAGAAATAACTTCTTAATTCGAGGCATGTTATTTCCAATGTCTTATGTTTTTTCTCTATTGCGGAAGAAGTTGCGTTACTATGTAATCGTAATATATCATCTTTCTTTCCCCCGATTTCAGCATTCAGTCCCTACAAAAAAGTTTAAATTAATTCAGGTATGTTATCGAGATATAAAGTCTATCAATGGACTATTATACACATTATTCCTGTGAGAATAAATACTTCATGTAACTTTTCGTGTATATGGATTTTGCTGTTACTGGTTCCAACTGTTACTCGTACTATGTTACTATATTACTTGGTTACTGACTTCATTATTCAAGATCCTATACTGTGAGTTATGATAATAAGCAAATTCGTAAATATAAAATATAAAATAAATGTAACACTCAAGTTTACTCCGGTTTTCAAAATTAGTTCACTTAAATCATGTACTCAAGTGATTCACGTGAGATCAATTACATTCCTCAGGCTTTCAATTATTTAATTATTCACGTCACACCATTTCAGTTCATGGATTTAAGGCTCTTTCAATTCCAGCCATATCCGAACTATTACTATTTTTCTACGTATGTTGCGAAGCTAAACGAAGCAATATGTTGTTATAAAAGGATTAATTTTCCAATATTATTGCTCCCTTCGGCAAACAAACAATAATAATAACAACAAAGTCAGCTCTTCATGCCTACAACACAACGTATCAACCACAGACATGTTACGTTGTCTATTGACAGACATGTGTACTCGCATTAAAGGGTATTTACATAGACAGACAAAGTTTATAATACCCGAAATGAGTGCCTTTTTATGTGAATGACAAGAATATGAGCAGCTAAGGATATAATGCCAATAGAAATATACAAGCTCATCCTTTTGTTCTGGCGCTTACGGCTTTGCGAGTGACTAGTTACACTGTCAACATCACTTGTTCTTGCTCTCATTTTGTTGTTGTTATTGCTTTTTTTGGTTATCTAAGTAGCAATAATACCGTATCAGATTTGCATCTTGTCCGTTTGTTTATTTAATTTTATTGTGTAAACATGTTTTGCAATAAACAACTCTTTTAATTATTGCAATTAACACAAGGATTATATGAGAAGTGCGTTTTAATATTTGAAAGACTTCTAAGCTGTAAGGTTCGAAAATAAAATTAATTATAAAAAAAGGATATACAACCTAAATATTTAATGTTGAAATGTTTATTTTATTTCATTTTTTCTTTACTCTGTAACGGTGTTTACTTATTTATAGAACCAATGTGTTATTTTTTAACAATGATTATTGGTTTCCCTGGTCTTCGAAATTATTTTGTAAGCTTAAAATCATACATTCTATATTTTTTTTATTGCACCTCGGTAATCTTATATAACCTCACAATATTCATGGGTAGCAGTCCGTCCTAACAACAGACGAGTCACAAAGAGACAGCTTAGGGTCTATATATATTACGTTTAAAAATTACACGCAGTAGCCAAAAATAAAGATAACAAAAAATAATTAAAAATCAGTAGATATTAATTGTTAAAATAAAAATATTGATTACAAATTAAAAATGCTACATGATGAGCAATTTGTATTTACTAGTACAGCTGAACTCCGCCGTGATACCCTCTATGTTAAATTCCGTTGGGGAAATCAGTTCGAAGTTGAAGAAAAATATTAAATTACAGTTTACAGTCCACTAAATCTGATTCGTTGATTATACATAAATAAAATCTATTCACATATAAACAAATACTAAAGCCAGGGTACAGCACGCAGTTGTGGGGTTATATTAGCGAATAACACATTAAAGTCATTCAATGCTTTCAAAAAAACGTACCCAAACACATTGGAAATGTTTCACGATATGTTGTGAAGGCTGACCACGGTAAGAAAATAAGGAATGGGCAGATACCTTTAACACTGTGTTTTAAGCGCATGTAAGTAAAGAAACCAGGAACTTTCTGAATGCAACACTTGATGTTTAAATTATAAAAATCCACATGACTAAATATGCAAAATCAATCAAACACCAAATCCGAAAACTTAACATGGACAAGATCAAGCTCCTCGCAATAACCAACGATTAGAATAAAAACAATACAACCATAAGGTACAGCCTCCTAAAAGAGCGGTACAATGTCAACTGAAATATCAAGTCGTTGCCTGTACAATAAATACTCGAAAGCTTCAAATTATGTACTATAAGGTTCAGCATTTACATAAATCACATAAAGAATATTACGATATTTCATGTGAGATACTTAGAGATTGGCCTACAACATCTCAACCACTCACAATAGCTTTGATTTTACAACTAAGTATTTCTCTCATCAGCATATCAAGATAATTTTTTCCCTTTTTTTTCCCTAAAGTGAATAATGTAATACTCGTAGCAGGTTGCATAAATTTTCCTAATAACCATTCACTGACGCAAAGAGACCGCAATGTCAGTTCGTTCTATAGCGTCAAGCAATTTTAAAATTGGACTGGACAGGAGTTGATTCCGTATTGATGGTGAACCGATAACAGTTTTACGTATAAATGCATATGAACTATGTCAAAGGGTGAAAACTGCTTAAGATATAGAAATTTTTCTTTTATTTATATCAAAACTTACTACAAAGCGATGGATGATGATGTGACCTAGTTTCACTTTCACATTATTTCTACACGATGTTCTGAAATATGTTCAAGCAATTAATGCCACAAACTTAATTCAACTGCTGTTCTTCCCATTTAATATGCACCAAAGTTATTTTATTCCTTAACAATGTATAAAAATGTCATTAAGTTTATTCGAATTTTTTATTTCCAGACTTATGTCTGCAGTAATTTGTTTGTTTTTGTGACTGCAATTGTTAACATTGCGTGAAAGTGTTGTTAAATCTCTGAGTCAGACTTGAAAGAATTGTGCTTCATTCCGGTTGAAAGTCCTGATAAAGGCAAAAATGGTTGCAATCCATTCGATTGGACTGTTTTTGTACTTTTATTGGTAATTTCTGTTTTCTACAAAATGCCAAGGCAGGAATTTAAAGCACATTTAAAAGACTTAAAAACTCCCGTTCGTATAAAATCGTTTTAATGGTTTTGTTACTTAATGAGCAGTTCTGTTAAATGTTTATAGCATGTGAAAGCCAAAAAATCATTAAAGTCTGCTTAAGCTCCAATGCAAACACTTTTACAATTACATTAATTGTGAAATACTCATGAAGAGTAAATGAAATTAATTGCATTGCAGTTTTAAGTAGGCACGATTAAAGTGTAAGCAATTGAATAATTGCTCTTACTCCTCTTGTTTGCAGGTAACAGACTGGGGTGTCGAACAATGCCGTTCCTTGCACATACATGTTAAATCACCGCCACGTCTACGTGTTGATCCTGCCAGTGTGACTTTAGAGCGTGGTGACTCATTGCGTGTTCGCTGCTTGTCACCTGGCAACGATGATATCAAACGCTATGCTCAGCTCGGCTACAGTTGGACACGAAACAGCATGCTCTTTCAGTCTGATCCAGCCAACGTTATGTGGGAGGATCTGTATCCTGACGGCAGCATATTAAAAATTAATAACATACAGGTTTGTAAAAAGATTGATTGATCAACATATATATGTTAGTCTACTAAATAGTTTTAATGAGGACTAGTTGACCCGACTAACGTTGGTTCCCCTTTTAATTAATTTTCCTGCTCTGCTAAGTAATAATATTTGTTGCTATTTCCTTATCTATGTAGACAAAGAGATTGTCAGATTTATCCATATGAGAAGCAATCCATATTTAGAATTAGGATAAAACCTAAATAATGTTAATAGCGTTTGTTTTAATTTTGTTCAAATTATAACTAATATCGAATGTTTTCACAGTCAATGTTAAGCTTAAAAACTAAATATATGATCTGAGTGTATACCGAAGATTAGTTAAATCATTAAAAAGTTATTGAGTAACGAACAGACGAACAAACAATTTTATACATATAGATACAAGTCCTTTGCTGCAGCTAAAATAGTACCTATAACATAAAGCACATAACATCTTATATAACTGGACTAGATATAAACATTAACATAAACTACTAGGCTTAAAAAATATATAATAACATGTAATTGTAATATTTGTTCTTTTCCTATTTTTTCAAAGAAATCTGCTGAGTACGCTTGTGTCGTTTCAAACACTGTGAAACCCGTTTCCAAAAGTGTATACATTACTGTTATCGATCGAAATGCAGTACAAGTATGTCATGCAGAAACCCTGTATGGTGTGCGTTGGCCTACAAGTGCTCCAGGAGCAGCAATTATATCCGATTGTCCACGTGGTTTTGAAGGACATTCACGTCGAATTTGTGAAAAACATGATATCGGTAATTCAACTTGGCTATTACCCGACTTTTCAATGTGCATACGAGATCAATTGTTAAAAATTTATAATGAATTCCGGGCACTAAGTGCTGGATTTCAGCAGTCCAATTCTTCGGCCATACTGAGAGCCTGTTTTGAATACACACTCAGAAGATATACGCACTTTTTGCCTGGCGAAGCTGGATTTTTGGTGGATATGTTGCATGAGGTAAGATTTAAAAAAAAGTCTAAAATATATATTTTTGAGCTAGTATTACACTTTTTTTAAGTATTATATTTTGAACCATTTTTTATTTGCTGAATGAATATATTTATACATAAATGTGTTTAAAGAGAGGTTATAACACTCCTTTCATAAAAGTATATATAACAAGAACGCTTCACATAGAGACATTAAGAAATTCGTAACATTGGTAAATAAACCAGAAATATGCATACATTAATATATTTATTTTAGAATTTCTAACACCACAATTTTTACTGTGTGTTATGTTTACTAACATTCTAAGTACTTCACACTTGAAGATCTAAAGTAGATACAGCTTGTGAGGTAGCTGAAAGAAGAACTTCTAACTGAAGAGTTGAACATTTCAAAACTCTGATTTGTTTTAGTAACATATATCGAATAGATATATCTGTTTTGTATTAGTTTTTATGTGCTTTCCCCAATTATCTCCACCTATTCTAAGACTTTTAATAAAATCAAGCACGTTGAGCAATTTGGCTTTTTTCCATGTTTTGTATATCAACGAATATCTTACGAATATCTGCGAAATATTAATTTTATTGATATTGTATCTCAACATTTATTATGAGAACATAAATTTCCTCTCTACTTACTACAAAATGTATGAGACTGTCTCAGATGGGTTGGTATATTTTCTAGCCTGTCTGGCTTTCTTTGATATTTACACTTCATTCAAGGCTTCCACAATTCAAATTGCTCCCAAAACACAAGTTTTTCCGCAATGTTCCTATTTGCAAGACTCTAAAATTTGTGAATTTCAATTAATTGGCGTTTAAAAAAATTAATGACGATATCCAATATCAGCATCTGTATATACAATCGAAGTCGATTATAACGACGTCGCTTAAAACGCCCAATTGCTTAGTACGATGAAATTTTAATATTCCGATATTTTGCTTGTACTAATCCCTACAAAATAATATCGTTTACGACATCGCTTAAAACGACGAACCTATTAAAGCGACGTATTTTCCTATAATTTAGGTTCTTATTATCTGTTACAACGACTATAAACTCATATATATGTACACATAATATAATTGCATTTACATACATTAGAATGCCTAAGTGAAAATAGTATTAAAAAAACGTATGTGTCAATGCAAAACTCGGACGAATGCCTTCTGAAATGGTTTAAACAACAATGAAGTCTTAATATTCCAATTAATGCTCCAATATTACAAGCTCAGACTAAGACTTTTGCAACCAAACTTGACAGTATTAAGGAAATTTTGATATCTTGAATTTAACGATTTTGACGAGGACGTGATACTGTACCAATCGGAGTCGTGGAAAAATGGTTCTACAGTATTTAGCCCCAACTCTGCTCACAACATTTCTAATATTGAAAATCAAATTGCTTTTTTTTTGCCACTGAATGTTACACCTATACTACAGCCTATGGATCAAGGCGTAATAAAAACATTGAAGACGAATTATCGAAATCTACAAGTTTCAAAAACGCTACAAAACACTGATACGAGGGCGGTTTAAAAAGTAAAAACAAATTTTTTTCGATAAATAAACATTTTATTATTCTACATAATCGCCTACATTTTCTACATTTTCTTATTCCCTCCAAATAATAGGTTTTCTCAAAGCTCTCAAAATACGCGTTTGTTTCGGTAATGACTTCTTCATTCGACTCAAGTCTCTTACCGCCCAGCCATTTCTTTAGGTTTGGAAACAGAAAATAGTCGCAGGGGGCTTAATCTGGAAAATATGCTGGATGGGGTTCGTATCCCAATTCGTGTATTTTGGGCACGAATGCTTAATCAGCAGGCGAAACTCACTTTTTTCCATTTTCGTAAAAATTCACGAGGTTGTCTGCTTTGAACGGCTATCAAACACCAACTGAACGACGTAGCTTGCTCAAAATTAGAAAATTACCCACTGGTAGATTACAGGTGACGGCAGCACTGTTGCATATGGAGTAATTACGCGAGAAATTCAAAAAGTCACAGATTTATCAAACCGCCCTCGTAATTCCAAAGAGTCGAAATTATATGTAGAGCCCACTACAATTACAAACAGTTTCCAGCATGCAGGTTTTGTTGAAGGTTCATTACAAATTGAAATGAATACAATATCTTCACCGTCTGGTACGCCAACACAGGCTTTCGTCAAAGCTTGAAAATATCGATAGGCTTTGATGACTTTTATATATGCAAGAAATATAACAACGACGACATTAAGCGATCTATTACAGCTTTACAAGGTGAATGTGAAATGGATAACGGCAACAAAGGCGATAATATACCCTAATATACCCTTCCAGTAACTACGGATTGCAAAGCGGTTAAAGGCTTGCAAAAATACGAGTATTTATTACTTAATGAATTTTTGAATAAACAGTATAATTGAGCCCGAGTTCAATGATCGACCTTCGACGCATCATTAATAAACATTTATTAGTTTACTAAACGATGATTGAAATTGAATATTGAAATCATTCAATATTGTGAGGCATCACCTATTTTAGATATGGGTTTGTGAGAGTATTTGAGCCAATAGGCCAGCTTAAGAAGTTTGTTTAGAAATATTTAAACGATTTCTAAATGCTATCGAACTTTTAATACAATGTCCAGATTAATGCATTTTAGAATTTTGTTTCTATTAGCTAACAATTGTATCTTCAAGTTATAAAATCAAGTGAATGTGCCGGTGTATTTTTATTTTATTACATCTTTATACTTACACTACTGTGCACTGTCATTTTTTCTCTATTATAAAGAAAAGTAATACGTGGCGAAGTACATTTATGACCTCTTCAAGCTCGTACCATAGTGGAGTGTTACTTTTATTATCAAAAGAATAATAAAAAATGTGTCATTTACGTCCCACTTTAACTGATGCTGAAAGAAAAGAACGTCATCGTTTACAAAGATTAAAATCAAAAGCAAAACTATTATTATTATTATTAAACCACTATTGCTATTAAATTAAATATGTATTTTGTTCATATTCAGATTATTTTAGATTTAAAAAGATACAAAAAACGACGCAAAGCATGGCAAATAAACAAATTCATGAAACAATTGAGGTCGACACATCTTTTGTTTTTTGAATGAACTGGATCTGAAGGTACTTCAGATTTTTGTTGTGATCGTGAAAAATTTTTATTCCACCTCAGTGTTCATCTTTAGCTTTTCCTTTTGTTACCGACCTGACCGATCTGTCGTTCTTTAAATTAGCTCCGAGCCTTTAAGCGTTGCTCCAACTCTGACCTCTAGTCTATGTACACACAAACCCAACGGGCCATAATTTAAGCTCTTCTGGGCTTTAGACACAAGGCCACCACTCGTATCAAACCAAAGCCTTAAATACCAATGCTTTTAAATAAATTTATTTATGGCTATTCCAATAGCAATTTGTTAATTCTGAAATTGTTTCTATTAACAAATTGGACTTGGTCCACGTAACCGAAACTGAAACTTGTCAATTTCTACTAAATGATATTTGCAATTTAATTTTCACGTTTTAAGGTTTAAATTTTACATTTTCCACTAAGGTATCCTTTAACGTTCTAAAAATGTTAAAAATACATCAAATTGTACACGAAGTAAAGGAAATACGTGCAAAACTTTAAAGTTGGAAACAAACTTTTGAAAACGTAATTCTTCTCCTGCCGCACCCATAATTACTTCCATAGCTCAGCGGAAATGTGCGGCGAAAAATTTTTTAATTATAATGACATCAACATGCACTGCAACTGCAAGAAGTACGTTCAATGCACTTTGCTGAAAGTCCTGCTTCTTTTATTAAAGGCAAAAGGAAAAATATTGAAAATATGACAAGTAACTTCAACAGTAAACCAACACAGAACTTCTGATGTGGTCAAAAATGTTAAGGGAGTGAGTTGCTGCGGTTCTGGGGAAGCTGCTATTCTAGTACCTTCAAATTAATTTAATGCAAGTGACATAATTTTAAGAGGTGATAATTATTAGCATAGATAAGGTACAAGTCCTAGAGGTTACTAAGATATTGAAATGTGGACGTAATTCTCGGATACGCTTTTACCAAAGGCTTTATATTTAAATTTAATTTAAGGTTATGTGTTCGATAACAAAAAATTAGAAAACACGCAGTATAAAATAAATATTTAAAATATAGGTACGGTTGATATAGGCACAGATGTAATATGTAAAGATAAAGTAGAGGATATTTTAAAAAAATTATAAGCCTGAGTATAACGTAAACAAATCTCCGGTAGTTACTTACTTAAATTTGAAATTTTTTCGACACGCCCCAGTAAGATAACCAATTCACGCACAAATAGAGGAGAGATTAAAAACTGCCATTATTGGAAAATCGTATTCAGAAGTGAGAGGCAAAGTAATAGTAGTTAAGAAGAAATACGTGTGTTAAAAGATTGCTTTCCGGTACCGATAGTTGAAAATATGCCAATAAAGTTGTACGACGCAGCACATTTTATTATCATGGATTTAGAAAACAGATTCTTACATGTGCAGATCGAAGAAGATAGTAAGAAATATATAGCTCTCGTAGCTAAACGAGGTTTATTTGAATTTAAAAATGTACCTTTCGGATTATGTAACTTACCGTCCAATTTTATAAAAAATATATTTCAAGACTTAACTTACGGTAAGATATTAGAATTTTATATCGACGCAATAATTATCTATAGAAAAACGCCTGATGAATGTACAGAAAACTTGACAATAGTATTGGAAAAAGCAATAAAATGTGATTTAAATTTTCAGTGGATAATGTGTATTGGGCATTGAGTGGCAAATGGACAAATTTCCTACACCAAACAATATTAAAGATGTGCAGGCATTTTTAGGACTAACTGGGTTTTTTCGCAAATTTATAACATAGAACATTATGCGCTTATAATACGACCATAAACAGACTTGCTGCCAAAGAGTGTTCTATTTAGAGTTAATGAAAAAGAAAAATATGAAGTCGAAAAATTAAAAAGCAAGTTAACAAAGGAGCCTAACATATACTACACCTTTACAACACAACGAGAGAAACTAACTGCACACCGATGCGTTCAAAGAAAAATATAGGACAATATTGTTGCAGAAAAGATCGTTAGAAAGTTCGCTACTTTCGGGAAAAGAACATAACGATAACATTAAAAATTCTACTGGAGATGTTGGAAAAAATACACTAAAATTACAATATGTTTATTCCTTTAGTGTTTGATTTCATTCACTGTTAAATATAGAAGTAGTAGTGAACTAGACTGTGATAAAACTATTTATTAATCAAAAATACCTTTGCAAGGAATTCTAAGAATCTCTGCTGTATTGCAAGTTTGAAGTATACTACATTAACGTTACATTTCTCATGCCCAGATATATTATTAATTTTGTAATATTTAAATATACAGATCTAATTTATATGAAACCAATTCAGATAAACTGTTATGTTTTATAGGCTTGGGTCACCATTTTTCATAAGCCATTTTTGTATAGTTATATTGCGGCACGTCGATAAAACGCATACTGTAAATTAATTCTAAATCTAAATCTAATCTCTTTAATACGTATGTAATTATCACATACGTATATTAAATATTTTTAATTTTTAATTTCCACCCTTCAAATTTTTCACTAAATTTGAGGTTTCTTGTTTTTTTCTTATAATTTAACACAAAATTGAAGGCAAAAAACTTTTGTGAAAACTACAATTTTTCATTTTAATGCGCCCACAAATTTGCGCTACAAATTTTAGGATCCCGCAGCACTTCCTAAAATGAATATCCGTTTCCTGTTTCATTCTTTGAGTGTTGTTTTTTTGCTGGGTTTTCATGCTTTCAAGCCAAGAGGGATCTATTATTTCTATGACTTTTCGTTTACATACCAAGAATAGGCAGATATTTACTCTATATGCATGCACGAAATATTTAAGGGAACTTTTCTTTATTTAGTATTGCACTTCTTACAGATCGACTCATATTTGCAACTCAAAGGCACACAATTGGAGCGTGAAATGGCAGCCGAAATTATTTTGCACATCCTAGACAAAGTGATGCAGAATGCAAAGTCCTTAAATAGTCAACAGGTAAGCGTTAGAATACACAATGTTCACTTAACTTAGAGATTACATGTATATAGTATAATTTTTATTTATTTGTAATAATTTTGGGCACAAATTGTGCACACATTTGTCCTATTATATTCTCATATGCAATTTTTCATATCCCCACAAAGCCTCTTAAATTTTTATGTCACAATGAATTTATCATATAAACAATCTTTGAAGTTTAGGAATAGGAAGAGTACGTTTGGGATAAGTGCGCCTTTGTAATGGAATTTTGTTAAATATTACTGAACACATAATGCAGTAGTCAACAACATTTATACTACAAGCCATGGTATTTTATGGCAACTTCCGTTTGCGGTTTCTTCATCATTTCTAAATTGTGTGACATAAATTATGCAACAAAAAATTAGATCGCACAAAGAGTTCTGAGCTGACACCACCAAGGCAAAAAGAGTACATAACTCACAATGTCGCACATAAGCTGGGCCATTTCAATATTTCCTGGAAATTTGCACAAAACCAAAAATATGCCCTTTTTTGCGGCGTTGAGCACAAAGCACGATTTAAGTGCAAAAAATGATATAGTGTCGTTAAGATTTATGCTACGCGAAAAGGAATTCCATGGAATTTCATGTTAAAGGAACAATTTTTGTTGCGCCTTAACCACTTGGTAGTCAGTAGGCATTTACGACAGGAATAGCAATATAATATTGGTTAAAATAATTTTAAAATAATAATACGACTGCAACTATGTTACTCAACAAATACATGAATATTTGCACATTATCTAAATCTATGCTTTTAGGTAAATAAAATTAACGTATATATACATTTATAGAACTTAAGGAAGAATTAAAAAAATTGATCATATTAAGCCGGTCTTGCACACCCAATGAACAAACATATGGAAACTGCCATCCATACAGGTTAATCAACTCAGATCGCGAAAATATGAACGGAACTAAACCACGCTCTAACTCGTCTACTATGTACAACACGTATAACTTTGATGCGAATTATTGTAGCACTTACCTCCAGCTCAAAAAGTACCCGGATTTTGTAAATAAAACACACAAATTTAAATTATATTCCAAATTTATTTTAGCTCCTTCTGAAGCGATACACATATGCCAACGTTTAACCCAATCTTCCATGCACCTTTCGTAGGCCCGTGCAGGTATGGCATTTAGTTCCTTCAGCGAATTCTCTTTTACCGTTTTAATCTACTCAAAACGCTTGCCACGAAGGTTCAATTTGAGTTTTGGGAACAGAAAAAAGTCGCACGGCGCCAGATCTGGCGAATATGGTGCCTGAGCGATGACAATGGTGTTGACAGCCGTGTTTGGTCAAAAAATCGCGTACAACAAGAACTTTCCATAGTAAAAATCGATTAATGCGCTTTAGGCAGTCTCACATTAACAGCTGCTGTTAACAAACTAATTGACAGTTGGCTCTCAAATTTGTAACATATATCAAAAAAGGGTGTACCAACATAACAAAAACAAAAATTTTTCAAAAAGCTCTATTACTTAAGGAGAAGTTAACAAACAACAAAACCACAAAATCCGGATACTTTTTGAGCAGAAGGTACAGCAAATTTGTTGTAGTTTTCTCTCTACATAACTTTTGCATTTGAATTGTGCCTTTTTCTCGTTTTGTGTGCTTCAACTCTACTTAAATGTGTAGCGCAAAGTTTTTCTTCTAACCACTGCTTTAAACCATTTGATTTTCGTGTTATAGAATAGAAAAAAATATTTAAAGAATTGAGAATTATTTATATATTATATATGTACAACAAAAATTTACTGTATTATTCTGCTATTATTGGTTAATAATAACACCTGCAATAATCAAATTTGCAATATTTTTACAGTCGATAAGGACATAAAGATATAAGTCATCATACCTTAAAATTTTATCTCAACTTGACCTTAAAATTATTAAAATTATAAAGAACCAACATAGGCTCATTTTGCTGTATTGTTCACCACAAACATTTTCAACTTAAGGTCAAAAATTTTTGAAGTCAAATGACAGTTCCCAAAGATAATGGACCAAACTCTAATACTAACGAACTTGCCATATGTGTGGAATACGATAGTGTTATTTTGTGTTGATTGGTGAGGTACGTTATATTTTTTTTGAAAATAAAAGTTATGTAAAGATAGCTCAACAATTTTTTTTATTTTATTTTTTCTTTAATATTTCAACTTTAATCTAAAGTTATCTTCAAGAAACTGACAATTTAAAGGCCGTGTGCGAGTTGATCTAATTAAGTGAAACTCTAAATTGTGTCAATAATGTAGGTAAATGTTGTTATCTAGAATACTTTCAAAGTGACTAAATCCAGCCTAAATAGAAAAATCGCCACTTTATTATTTTCATAAGATCTTAAGTAAATAAAAAAGTAAATCAAAACATATAATATTAATAATATATAATAATTTTATTAAAACGTGTTGTTTTATTTGTATTAAAAAAATTAATTATCGTTATTAGAAAACTTTTAACCGAAAAGTGAACAATTTTTATATGTATTTTTCGTTATTTATTGAGCATTTGCAATAAATTTTGAAAATATTTGTATTTAATATCATTAACATTTGTTTGATAAAATTTTATTATAATGGCTGTTACCACAAAAAAGGGTGAATTTCTTTTCATTAACTTGGCAATATTGTGTTGCTTATTTTTGACGTTTGCATAATTTGGAAAATACATTGAAATACATATTGGCTGTCAAAATGGAACTCGTACACTTTTTTGAACTTTGTAGCTAAATCTGTGCAGCACAAAATTTCCCAAGAAAAATCTCATTTAGTTTAGCATCAAATTAGCACAACTCGCACACGCCCTAAATAGTAATAAAATTTAGGCAGAGTACTAACGTTACTCTTGCTATCAGTTTGGTATCTTTTTGTAATGTGTTATCAAAACCGCTAATACAATCTAAATTAAAAGGTGTATATGAAAGGAAAATATTTAATTATCGGCACCACGGCACTAAGCAGTGTTTACCATAACTGCACTGAAAAATATTTTATATTAATTAAATTTATGAAACAACAAACACATTATCATTAAAAAGTGAACTCAAAGCAATCAAATATAGTAAAACTAACTTGCTTCTTAATAATTTATCATTCAATCTACTTTACTCCTATACTAATATCTCATTGTATCTGATATGTACAATATACTAAGAACCCATAGACCAAATCATATTTCAGTGGTATTGCTTGCTGTTATTGAATTGAATGTATCACTTAAAGTTAATAAATTATTAACGCAATTACTTGCCTAACATCACTTTACAATTACCAGCTGTTAATATAAATTCTACAAAAGCAAAGTAATAAATTTCATCGTCAAATTAATATTTGCACAAAACTCCACACACTTGCCTGATTTGTATGCCAAATATTTATGGTCTTATTTGCAGAGTATATGGCTGCATTTCTAGAACCATTTGCAGAACGGCACTAAATAAATTCATGCGATGAACACAACAAGATATTTTACGTACCAATATATTTTACATTATAGCAAGAAAATCGCATAAGTGCGAGCACAACATGACGTATGAGTGATACAACCGTAATAAAAGTAATACTGTATTATAACCAATGATAGCACTTACCAACACTACCTCGTACTGATCCAAGACCAGCAAGAGTGGCAACAATACAGTTTTTATTAGCAGCAATAGTAGTGCTGGTGTGATTTTGCCTCCCGTATCAACGACAACGACGACGACAACGACAACGTCAACGTACATCAGCACAGACGACATCAACAACATGAGCAGCGACAACAGCTCTACTTGTCAGATGATGTATGAAATCAAATAATTGTCGCGTATACGCAATGTAGAACAGTAAAAGTGGCATAATTCAAAATGAAAAGTGAATAGCTCTTTAATAGTATTAATTAATAGTCACATAATGCATGCATCTTCCACGCTGAGCACTGAGCACTGTGAACTGCGAAACGGCAAAACTATGAGCTTGCGAATCTGTCGTGAATACGCGAATTTATGAGATGTGGCTGGCACATAATTGAATACAGTATCATTTTACCAAGATTTTAAACAAAAGTAAAGTGCTGCTACTTATAGGTCTCAGAAATCATATATATGCACACTTCTCTACATTCCGAGCTCATTAATGGACACACAAACACATCAGACGAGAGTGCAAAGCAGGTCAAAAAGCCTGAGTAATTTGAATAGCAGTTCATACTTGCATGTTATGTTCATGCAGAATATAATTTATATATATTAAAAGTAGTAAAGAGACACACTATTTTTTTTTGTTGAAATGCATAATAAAGTGAATGAAATGTTTGCTGTTTTCGTGTGTCGCTACGCTGTTTACATGGAATTAAATTAATGAACATTTTTTGTGCCAATAAACATTAAGTTTCTTTTCATCTGCTTCACTTGCTGGTAGTGCTGGTGCTGTGGTTCAATTCGTTACACTTTAGTTGAACATTGTATGGAGCTATGGAACAGTTGAGCTGTTGAGCGGTTGAGCGGCTGAGCAGTTGAGCAGTTGAGCTCGTCCCGTGTTGCTCCTTTTGATCTGTCTACAGAAACAATTGAAATATTTTTATATAAAAATAACATGTTTGCACATGAGCAGAAATTGTTAATGTCTTTCATAATTTTTAATTTAATATATGTAAGTAAAAAAGTAGCGCAAAAAGCAAAAATGAGCAAAATCAGACGTCACTGATGCAGCAAATGTGTTAAATGACATGTTCACAATATCCGGGCTTGCTGATGCTTCGACTTTGTATGCACTTGTCAGTATATTAAAATGGCTTTGTTCTACGTGCTCCTCTATGGCAGTAACTCTACGACTGCAACTCGACTGGCATTCAGCATTTATGGGTGTATTCGTGATTTTGAGTTTTTATATTTTCAATTAATAATGATGCGTTTACACTGATGTCATTATGTCGATAAATTTACCCACAAAATAAGGCAAATACATATACTGAAATCAGATATCAAC